TGAACTGTAGTGGTTAAGTTGTTTAGAGCATCCCCTTACATGTTTCCAACACCTTTTGCAACCAATTTTTTTTTAAAGCTGTTAGAAGGCTGCCTACCATATAAATGATAAAGTAATTTAAAGATTCCTTGCCTTGTGATTTCCTTTGAGACTCAGCGGCAAACATAAATTGCATTTTGCACAATGTTCATAATCTTCTTTTGGACCAATCCTAAAGAAAGCAGAAGAAATTAGACATTTTGCAATTTTAGTGTAAATAAATAATTATGCCACACAAAACTAAACAAGTACTTGTAATGCCTGCAAATCAAACATTTATGGCACAGTGTCTAGTATGCAACAGAACAAAAAAAAAAATGTAATTTTGTAAATTAAATGTCAATATTTGAAGAGAGAGCAAATGCAATATAAAGTGACATAAGGTTAGAGATAGAGGTTAGATGTGTTTACAGATCCCCTACTCAAAAGGTGTATGTCAGGATTGTTAACGCAGCTAAAAGTGCTAGAAGATTAAGTATACTAAGGGAAAATGACCTGGTTTGTAATAAGGAGTTTACAGTACAGATATGTTATGTTCTTGAGTATAATGATGGCAAGGTAGCAGCATCTATTTCTTTTTCTGGGTATTGTCCTCATACACTTTGATAAAGGTATATTTGGCTGTATTATGACATTTAAAGCTTTCCTTTGATGGTATATTTCCTTTGATATAGATTGAAAATCTACTGATTTATTGGACATAGTGGCTGTCAAGACTTACCGATCTGCAATCCCTCGGAATTACTTCTGGGTTTTGCCGATCGGAATCTCCGCCCCCTTTGCGACGCGATCTTCCCTCGCCTTATTGGGAAGTCACACCACGGGTTAGACGCAGAGTTATTTTGCTTCCTTCCTAACAAAAGTGCTGGCTTAGCTCCCAACTTCTAAATTCTGTGTACCGACCTCTGCTTGATTTAACGACCTTGCTTACTTCTCCTGCCCCTTGGACCCGGATTGATAACGAGTATTCTCTAAGGAATTTCCATATTAAGCCTAAAGCACCACCAAACAGGATTGCTCATTCTTTTTAAGGTAAACATTTCCAATTATTCCTATAACATGGAAATAATTAAGAGACTCTGTGACCTGATTCTAACCTAAACTGCATGCTAAATTCGGTTCTCACTTCTACTGTGATTTTCTGGAACCCTGCTTAAAGACTTTAACTTCATTATATGCTCTGCATCTACAAAAGTGAACTGTTTTACTTGTACTCGCTATTCTATACTAAACTGTTCCTGCTCAACTAACTACCTGCTTATTCTGCTATTCAATAGAGGAAATCTTATTTAATTATCAATAATACTATTGGAAATAATCTGCCTCCAATCTTTTTTTTGTGGAATTTTCTTAAAGAGGTAATATACATCCAAATTTCTGCTGTTGAGTTCTATTATAACCTTACAGTGGCACTGTCACATATACAATTTACAAATAAATAAAAATTAACTCAAATCAAAAGGCAGCCTATCAAGTTATAGTATGGGAATACATCATACTACCTCTACCTCTAGGATGCAACGAACAAGTGTACCAAGAGAGAACATTCACATGTGCAGTACTACAGATTAAGGAAAAGCACACACATAATAATAATGAATCCCCATATTTGTTTACTGAGATGAGGTGATTTTAGTCTGTAATATGTATAGATTTTGGTCACTACGGCAGCACCAATCCTGCAAAATGTATGTTCCGGGTGTGCCCCCAATTCCCTTTTGTCTTTACTATATACAGTACTATTGAGCAAAAAATCAATTGTTATGTACGATTTTGACATAAAGCAGTGCAGGGCCTTAATCTCAGGCAGAACTGGGAAATACATTTCTCCTCTCTATATTTTTAACAATGCAAATGTTTATGAAGTTTGTCAAATGACGACCCAACACAAACATCAGCATATGTATAATTTTTTTACAAGCTGTGCACTGGGATATACATGCATTCTTTACCTGCATATACCACATCCATCACAATGATACTGCTTCTTGTTCTTGTCATATAAGTGGCACACACCACAGTAATATTCACCAAAAACAGTGCTGCACCGTTCGCAAGTCTGATGAGCCTATAAACAAACATATATTATACAAATGGGCATGTCATTTCGAGGACATTATATTACGATGAAAATGCCTGTTCACTGTTAATCAATATGGAAATTCGCTAGGGCTCTATGATAATATTCCTTGAAAAAGTTTAACAGCAAACCTGAAAGAATGATTGAAAATAAAACACTTGCATTTGGCTAATCTTTCCACATCTGTTCTTTCATTAGCTGTTGGGTTTTTCCTTCAAATTTAATTGTTAAGCAAAAATGATACAGTGCAACTTTATACAAACTTAAGATAGCAATTAAAGGAACACTCCAACCATTACAATCTGCTACTGGGGTCATGGTGCAGGAGTGTCCCTGCCCCATCCCATGATTAGATATCAAATAATTTTAGCACAGTCTGGCAGCCTATTAATGTCCCACAACAGCCCCAAGCTTTATCTGCCACATCTGGCCTCCTCATTCAGAAGAAGTCTGACATCTCTATAGAACAAAAAAGGGCTATGCTTATTTACTGAGAACCTCGGCTCTGCTCTGAGCCAATGAGCGAAGTCCTGTATTGGTTGCGCTGCTGGAAAAGACTGGATGAGGTGGGTTGGGACCCAGGGACCCAGGTATGCTATCAAGTAGTGTGTGTGGGATACTGTCAAAAACAGTACTTTCTTGACAAACAATCACGTCAGGCAATAGTGTTTCCCATGCTTTAAACAACTAAAAGGTTTGTCCAAGTTTTCATTGTATGGTACTTCTTGCAATATCTTCTTGACAAGCATATACTTCATCCACATCATATATGCACAATAAAAAGATAACAAGTAAGACTAAAATAAATTTACTGTCAATATGCTGTCCATGTAATTTACAAGAATAGGTTTGCTAGCAGAGTTTTATCACTTTCATGTGAACTCACTAAGCAAAAGATGGCAATTAATTTGAAAAATATAGCCCACAGCAGAAGAGTTAAAGGTTCAGAGTGCAGGCGTGTTGTTACCTGAGTACATCTAATTATTAAGTGACAAAACACTGTTTTCAGTCAATATGGGGAACCGTGTGAAATTACTTATTTGTGGATAAACAGCCAACAATATATAACAGTGTCATGTCGAGGAGTATTGATTTTTCATAAAAAGCAGCTCAATGAAAGATACAGTGCAATGGTATGTCAGAGTATTTATATCGGCAGACATCTTGTGCTATGATAGAAACTAAAAGTGTATATTCTGAGTCACTCTGAACAGACCAGACTCCATTTTGTTATTCCAAGTTAACAAAAAAAAAAGACACAAGATTTCTTTCTGTAAGACTAGCCACTTTGTCAGAGCTAAAAGGAATGCATAGTATAAACAAGTGATAAGAAGAATATAATCAATTCTAAACCCAGACAATTGTGACAGAGAAGATTAAATAATAAATTTTAACTGTCTATACATATAAGGTCCCATTGTAAGTTACGGGTCAAAACTCAGATTTGCCAGACACATAGTCTGGACAAAACTTAAAGAACCCTTTGAAATTTTAAGTTATGGCACTATAAAGATAACGCAAAATGACGTCAAAATAGCCACCAGGAAAAGTTAACTCTTTCCTGGATAGGTATGTTTAGTGGGACAAGACTGCCCTCTATAGACCAAATAACTAAATTGCGATCTGGAAGATAACCACACCCCCAGTGTTGCTATTGGTTTATCAACTAATGATGTACAGAGAGTCTGGCCCTTTAAAAGTTAGGACAAAGGG